TGCGTGTGTGTAGATTATAAACCAGCGGACGAAAGCCGGCCAGCTCGCCGCTGATACCGCCCCGAAGAAGCAAAAAGGGCGCGGAACAGACCGGCGGGCGGCGGCCGAGTCACTTCCTGGGTCGGTGAGTCGGCGTCTCGCCTGAGCCGAGGTCGCTCGCCACCTCCCGGCTCCTCCTCTGCTGTGCGGGAGGCAGCGCGGGCAGGGCAGCTGAGGCCTCACCATTCACGAGTGGTGACAAAGCAAAGACGTGAGCGAATCCCAGGCTGCCCCTCCTCCTCCTCCTCCTCCTCCTCCTCCTCCGCCGCGGCCAACCGTGGCACCGGCGAGCGGGAGCGAAGGACAGGCGGCGACCGTCGGCGCTTCCTCGTCGCTGCCTCGATCGCGGACGACATTTCACAGGCCGCGCTGAGTGGGCCTGTCCGGATTGGCAACGCTGTTCGTGCAAGCGACGGGATGCTGACGCCTTTGCCCCTGAGTGACATACCTTGATATCTATTCATTTTATTTGCTTTGGACACGAAGAAAGGTGCGAATGCTTCACACGTAGCCTGTCGGGAAACCTGAGGAAGTCGCAAAGACGCGTTTCCGTGTTGTTTGCCTCCGTGACATTTGCGGTCGCGGACGAGGCGCGAAAAGGTTTTAACTTCGGCCGTAATTGCGAATTCACTCGAATCCCGAGGCTTTCCTCGCATGTTTTGTCTATACTCGCTCTATTCGATAATCATTCCTGTTGACGTGATTTATTTAAAGCAAAATGAATCGAAATCGGGAGAGGAAGAAGAAAAGGAGAGGCGGCGAGAGATGAGAAGGGAAAGAAGCGAACAAGACAAGAAAAAGAAGCGGATAGAGTAAAGACGGAAATGAGACGATAAAAGGTAGAAATGGGAAGTGAGGTCAAAACCATGTATAGTTAGACAGGCTGGGAGACAAGAGTTGGAATCAGGTAAGTATGAGAAAGAGATACTTACAGAGAAAGAGATACTGACTGACAGTGAGAGAGATTGTGTGAAAGACACATAGAAAAAGAGAGATAGAGAGAGACAAGCAGACACAGACACACATACACAGAGAGAGGGAGAGAGATACATACGCGGGGTCGGTGGCACTCCCGCCCTCCTCCTGCCCTCTCGTGTCCTTCCCTTCCCCATCCCTTCCCCATTCTTTGCCCTCCCCCTTCTCCCTCGCCACCCTATGCCTCCCCCCCCCCCCGCTCCCCAGCTGTCGGGCGGCCTCCGTACAAACATTTCCTGTTGGAGAAAGAAGCGGTTGGGCGGGTTTTTGCAGGGCAGGGATCCGAAGCCTTTTTTCGAGAAGGGCTCGAGTACTACACGCGCATGGCGCCCACTGCGAAGTCTTTCGCGTTACGCCCGGGCATCAACAAGAGCGCCCTGGCTCTATACCAAGGAATTAGGAAATGGATAGAAAACATAATGATGATATGTCACACTAACTTGGGTAAATATATCTGATAAAAATTACTGTT